TAAGTCTCTATCTAGGACGTCCACGTGGCAGCTTTATTGCGAAGAAAATGCATTTTTTTTACAATAGATGTCGCTAGGTGCGCTTAAATGTGATTCATGTAAGTTGATTTGTTTACAATAGATGTCGCTAAGTGCGTTTAAACGTGATTTATGTAAGTTGATTTTTCCGAGAGATAAACTTTTTTAATGTAATATAAATTGTCATGTTTGTGTACGATAGCGCAATAAATAAATATTGTATTATGCCACATACATGATAGTACTTTTATACTGATAATTAAACCAATTCGTGCAAAATTATTCCCTAACCATTCCAAAATATCAAAAATGCACAACGTTAATATTCAAGTTTTCACTTCTGCCGGCACTCCCGGAGTGCAACCCGTCGTTTATATTACACCTAAATGGGAAACTGACTTGTCTGTCAGTTACCTCTTCACGCTTAAACCACTGAACCGAATTAGATGAATTTTGGTTTTTAGGAGGATATAACTAAAACTAGACTGTACTTACCCTTTTCAATATAGATTAAAATTTTGTTAATTTTGTAAGGGTTAAATCTAGTTTTAGTTGAAACGAGATTTAGTAAATTGGCTGCTAGTGGACCTTAGTGTTTCCGCACACGGGCCACACGCCACAGCCACAAACGCCGCCACGAGAAGCTAGAAGCGGCTACTACAGTGGCTGTAGCGCGCGACAGCGGCCGACTAAGGTAAGGGAGAGAGGGGTGGGGAATCGCGCGAGTGACGTATGGCGGCGTTTTGTATCGGCGCATTAAGTGGCCGGTGCGGGCCACAAGAAGCAAGCAATGACGATTTGTAGCGTGTGGCGACCACCGGCGTACCGTGTGTGGCGAGTCCATATAAAATGTGTGAAAACTACAAGAAATATACCGGTGGCGGCTTTTTGTGGTTGTGGTTGGTGGCCCGTGTGCGGCGCTTAATGAAACACTTGAACAGGTTTGAAGCGTGATTTGTTGCGGATCTTTTACGGGCTCCGAGCTCTCGATACTTGATAGTAAACCATATTATATGTAAATTAATCAAATTAAATGTATCATATTCTCAAACAGTTTGAGGAGCACAGCCCTATCCCTATCCAGAGAGACGCCAGATGGGAGCTCTGAATATTAAAATTATTCACAGCGTCGGCTCGTAGCGTCCGAATTAGCCTGCTCTCCAGATTGAATTCCATAATCTGGGAATTTTAAGAATACCCTAGGTACGTGATCTAAATTCCCAATGTCGAATTGTAGGCAAACTAGTTTATTTATGATATCTATATCAGTGACTTTTAGTATTACTTACTATAAAAGCATTTCGTTTGAACAATTAGGTATTTAAAGCAAAACTTGAAATATAATTATGATATCGACGTGTCTTAGGCTCGTATTAAAGAAAGATTGTCAGTAATGAATCTAGTCTTGAGCATAGATAGAAAGGGATGTCGCTATATATAGCACATAGCGACATCCCTTTCTAACTGTATTCAAGTAAAGATCAACACTTAGTCGTCATTCTGTAATACAGGCCTTAGATGAGATTTTAAAAAAACAACAATATATGGAGAACCTAAATGCACACTCCATCATTATTTAAAAGGGCGGAAAGATTATGAAAGTTATTTATATGACAATTTTAGTCGAACATATTTCCAACATTCACACCAATTAGCCTAGCCCCAAAGTAAGCACTATAAGGCGTGTGTTATGGGATACTAGGGTATTGGATAGAATACATATACTGTACATAAATAAGAATATATTTTTATAGAAATACATATTAAACATCCATACTGGAGTTCAAATGCTCGTATTCATCACACAAACATCTGCCCCCACCCGGATTTGAACCCGGGACCTCTCGAGTCGGCGTCACCATGAAACCCGGCGTACACACCACTCGGCTACGGAGGTCGTCGAATATGATGAAGATCGTGTCAGTTTATAAAGTTTTCTATATTTATCGGGAATTTCGCATCGCACTGGCAAAATTTGTCATTTACTTACAACGATTACATTAATCTTGTGATTTGCGTACGAATCGATGTGAACCTGAGTGGATATCAGAACTTCAACTGAACTAAACCCGTAAGGGTTTGTGGATGTGAGATGACTATGCAGATAGGTTAAGTAGGTAGTCTTATCTTTAGAGCTAATGTCGTTATTTATTGAATATCGGCAATGAAGAGGTACAGCATACATACTTAGGAATAAATCTGAATCCAGCAACCATACTTTAACATTAAGCTTAAATTTGATGTACTTAAGATCCTGTTCGGATACAGAAGTGGCCGTGGTAAGGCTATCCGTTCCTTGCCAACAATAGATAGTGTGCGGCGACACTTACCTTAGTCGGCCGCTGTCCGCCTTAGATGAAAACAAAAAGGGTAGATACGGTACGCTCATACTTGCATCAAACGAAAACCTATCCCACGGCAGCGTGAACGGGACGGCGAGATCCGCGTCACTGCATTACCGACCCGAACGAAACAGCACGTTAAGTTTCAACGGCAGCGCAAACGAGACGGCGAGATCCGCGTCACTGCATTACCGACCAATCAGGCGACCAGTACTCGACGTCACTACCGAATAAGATTCAAAACAAAAAACAATTTTTATGAAAAAAATATTTTATAGTACTTACGAATGAAAAGTGATGCCGTGTGTTTTATTTTTAGTTCTTGAGCAATTTGAGCACTTTTTAAAACACACTTAGGGATTGTTATATCATATAAAAACAAAATATTAGCAATATTTCTTTTCGGCGTTCACATGTACCTACGTCGTTTGCATGTCAAGTTGTTACTAAAGCGATTAGGGTCGTGGACCACAATTGGTGCGGATCACTTTTGTGAGGCTAGTGCCGTATCTACCCTTTTTGTTTTAATCTAAGGCTGTCGCGCGCTTCAGCTACTTTAGTAGCCGCTTCTAGCTTCTCGTGGCGGCGTTTGTGGCTGTGGCGTGTGTCCCGTGTGCGGCAACACTAAAAGTTCTACATGTTAATATTCTCATAAATATATTTTAACTCCTACTTATTGATTATTTCACACATGTAGTATATTAAAGACATCCTCAGCCAAACTAGGAAGCTCATCGTGTATTTGGCTTCAGAGCCCTTCCCCAATTTCGGTAGCAATGTAGCTATACAAATAAATTAGTACCATATTTTCTTACGTCATTCAATATTACAGTACCTACTTTAATATTATATAAGTCCACGTCCAGATTCAAAATATTAACCATAGTCTATTTATAGATATATCTGTTATAACAGAAAATTTTCATCCAAAGTGGAAAGTTGCAAATGAAAACTTGAGTGAAAACGCATTCGGAAGCGAGTAGCGACAACAATGGCACGGACCGTTTTGGCCACTTTCCCGCCTCTTTTGAACAAAATGGCGGACAAACAATGCTCTCTGCACGCTTAATGGCGGCAACTCTTCTGTCCGTGTATCGTATTCGTGTGCACGCTTTAACACCACTTCATATTCGAGTGCAATGTTTCTGTGGCTAATGAAAATGTATGCGTTTCTTTTAGTTCTGCACAAGTGATTAATAATTACATTGGATGCCTATCGTAATAATTATCGAACTAGATACAGTATATTACTTTAAGCGCTTCTGGGTTTAGGGCTGTTCACAAAATGAAGAAGAAAGTCGGGTTAAGTGGGAGTTTTTTCTTATGAAATATGTATATTTGCAAACGCACTAGAGTTTTAATTCTTTTTAATAATTGATTTTTACGTTTTTCTTGTTTGATAACATTTTATAAGGTAAACGCTGGTAATGTCGACAGTGTCCCAGTACTCGTCACTTTTCAAATATTGATTAATTAAATCTTCCTGATTATATTAAAGTAAAAAATTTAAATGGCAACTTATTTACGGTTATATCCTACGCCATTAAAATAGTAACAGTTAGTTAAAAAGCAATGTTGTAGCTTCCATTATAAACTGCCAGCTCCTGCGGTACCCAGAGGATCACCAGATGATCAGTGACCAATGGTTTTCGTCAGAGTCGTTCGGCTGGTGTTCTCGGGTTTGGCACAAAGCGTTTCTACTAAATTTCCTTCCTATGAGCTTCCTGAAAAATTATGTAATTAGTGTAAAAGCTTTCTTACGGATTGGAGCATCAAGGTCCCCACCGTAGTTGACGATGCATGTTCGAACTCCAAATCCGTGATCGCTGGTGTTCCACAAGACTGTGTGCTATCGTCTATGCTGTTTCTCCTTCATATCAATAACTAGTGGCCCGCCCTCGCTTCGCTTCGGGGTAGAATTGATCAAAATGCTTTCTTAGCGGATGCCTACGTCGTAACATCTACCTGCATGCCAAATTTCAGCCCGATCCGTCCAGTGGTTTGGGCTGTGCGTTGATAGATCACTATATCAATCAGTCACCTTTGAGTTTTATATATATAGATGTAAATTAGATTTTGTGGCACAACTGCAAAGCCAGCCAAGTTCGGAAGCTGACAGTTATTGATACGTTTACCTTAGCATTTAAAATACCTAAATTAGGGAAGTTATAGTTATATTATTTAAGCATGTAACTGGTTGATGTTTAAATCTAATGAAAATATTAGATACTAGAAAAAAATCAACGCAGACCAGGCAGCAGACGGAAAGTTGTGTTACAAATTCAGAAGAGCTTTTTACCCCCTTACGCTTGCGAAAATCATCAGCTATCAGTCTAACACTACCACAAAAGCTGCTCATCGGACAAGTCGGAACCATCAGAAGACACATGAGCGTGTGATGATTATTAGAATTTGAAGAAAATTAAAAACTTACCATTTATTTATAGATATCCTTCGTGTTGTAACATCAATAACAACACAGGGAGAAAAAAAAGCAGCCCTTGCTGAGTTTCTTGCCGGTTCTTCTCAGTACAAGGTCTCACGCAGTAGTTTTGCGAACCGATGGCGTAGCTTCTTGACCTTCACAAGTGCTTGTAACAGCCTAGACTGAATAAATGACATTTCATTTCGTTGTTGCAGAGGTCGCGATCTCCTAGTGGGTCGGCGGCGCAGAGGCAGTTAGATGAAGCCGATCTCTTCATGGACCTCATCAAAGACGTCGCCAACGAATTGGACATTGATGTGCTGTGCCATAAGGTTAGTGCGGTATTGCATTATATATATATATATATATATATATATTTTATGATAAAAGGGTGGCTATTGGCCTGCTTGATGATAAACGGACGCCATACCCTATAGACGCTTCATCATCATCATCATCATCAGCCTCTTTTATGTCCCCACTGCTGGGGTACAGGCTTTCCCTATGGATGGAATAGGAAGATTGGGCCCTGACCCACCACGCGGGCCCAGTGCGGATTGGCGGGTGCTAACCAAGGGCGGATCCAGAGGGGGGTCATGGGGGTCATGACCCCCGCCTGGGCTGGGTCCATCTGTACCCACTTCACAATCTGTACCCACAGTGACTTGACCACGACTATATGACCCCCCCTGGCGCCAAAGCTGGATCCGCCCTTGGTGCTAACGATTGCAGATGCAACCGAGACCAACGGCTTAACGTGCCTTCCGAAGCACGGAGGAACTCGAGATAGAAATTTTTGGTCACCCATCCAATGACCGACCACTGCGAAAGTTGCTTAACTACAACTATCGCAGCCAAACGCGCTAACTACCTGCGCCATCGAGCTCCTCATATATACACGCTTTCAATACTAAAAATATCATATCAAATCGCGCCGTTGCCAACTCTGCCCCCTTCACCTAGGGTTACCATATCTCAGCATTTGTCCTGAGATTTCAGGATTGCGGCTGGATTTTGCAAATCTCATGAAATCTCAGGATTTTTTGAATTTGCAATAAAATACAGCTTACGTTTTAAAGATCTCTTTAATAATAAGTTAAACAAACTAAAACAAATCTTCAATCGGTAATAATTGTACAATTAAAATTAGTATTTTATTATCCAAGTCGGTACTTAATCAGTTTTATCATACTTAATAACTGAGGATACATTTTTAAGTAAGGTTTTTTCTTTAATTATGGATTCATATAATGCCCCACATGTTTAGCTCTTCAAATTATGATTCTATTTATTTTTTAAGCATTTAACTGCTAGATGTTTAAATCTAAAGAAAAGTTTACTAGAAAAAAATCCACGCGACCAGGCAGCGGACGGGACTCGAACCCGCATCCTTCGCTATCCGGGCGAATGCACTGACCATTATGCTACCACGGCCCTATTAGCCGCGTTGAAATTTTCCTAGCCTTAAGCTGCAAGGCAGCGCCATCTCTTCGCATTGTAGGTAACCCACAATGTCAAATGAATACTTTTTCAAGTATTAAACATTTGAAAGAAGAAATAGCAATTATAGTTATGATTCTATTTATTTTTTAAGCATTTAACTGCTAGATGTTTAAATCTAAAGAAATAGGGCCTTGGTAGCATAATGGTCAGTGCATTCGCCCGGATAGCGAAGGATGCGGGTTCGAGTCCCGTCCGCTGCCTGGTCCGCGTGGATTTTTTTCTAGTAAACTTTTCTTTAGTCTTCAAATTATATTGATTAAAAAGTATAAGCAGAGTATAAACGATAATATTAAGACTTTTTTAAATGGTTAAGTACGTTTGAGAGAAAATTCTTAAACTGTAAAAAATCACAGGATTTTTCAATGGAAATCAAGCCTTTTCTCCGGACTTTTGATTTTATATTCGCCCGGATTGCGAAGGGTGCGGGTTCGAGTCCCGTCTGCTGCCTGGTCCGCGTAGATTTTTTCCTAGTTATATTTTCTTTAGATTTGAACATCAAGCAGCTACATGCTTAAAAAATATAATTATAATTACATTATCTTGCTAATATATAATATCAATACTATAAAATTTAGTTTAGTAAAGTAGGTAATTTTTAATTTTTACAAAAGTAATGTTAAAAATGACTAGTGGGTTCCCGCGACTTAGTTTGCGTGGAAAAATTGGTTTCCGAAACCAACTTCAATCCCCTTTCCGCCCCCAAAAGACGATTGCTTTGGTAAAAACCATCCTATGTCCCTTCCCGGGACTCAAACCATCATCAATAATCTATCCAGGTCATAATTTATTGTGTACTTCAGTAGTTTGTACGAGAAGGTTTTTATTAAATAAAACTAGTTTTTACGGGTTAATGCACGAAACTTTATTTATTTATGACGTTTCGCAGCCTTTTCAGGTCTGCATCGTCAGTCAGAAAATAAATAAAGTTTCGTGCATTAACCCGTAAAAACTAGTTTTATTTAATGAGTGATGTGCGTGAAAACCTAAGAAACAAATAAGGTTTTTATTATGAAAAGGAGAATGCCCAATCATGGGCCCCTTTTGAGGTTTCTTGTGCCTCATTCAAATATGTACCTAAAAATCGAATTTATATTTTGATACTGGTGACATTTATATCGTAATTTTTTTCACCCTGGGTATTAAGTTATAATTAATTAGATATTTGCCCAATTTCCGCTTGACATATTTTTTTTTATATTTATGGCTTGGTTGGTGACGTATTTCTCGATGGGTATAATGTTGCCAGGTATTAATAAACTTAATTGATTAATCGATATTAAACTCGTGATGTTCGCTAAAAGTAAATTCGGATTTTTATCAGATTATATAGAAAATCACTCGATTTTTATCTTCATTGGTACTCAAATGATTTTTGTCATTCGAGTTACTCAATGCCATAATATATTCCGTGACGTCAACATATTAAGACCTACATCGAAGTAGGTTAAGGGGGCAAGACAAAATGGTATGCAGCTATGATTGGATTGGCAGTTTGTTGGCTTTTGTTAATTACGCTAAGGATAAAAGAAATTTAAATTAGCAGCGCATATGTTGCCTTTAAAACATGTGCTAGAGTTGGCGTAACCCAGCAATAAGTTTAAAGGTGATTGCTCAAATTGGCCCAAATGCACAAAAATATTTTATTTTATTTTATTTGGGAAATTTACAGACAAATAACAAAGTGTATTAAAACTATGATCCGTCACATGCTAATAATAAATTTCCACATATAACACTTACATAAAGGAGAATGCCCAATTATGGGCCCCTTTTGAGGTTTCTTGTGCCTCATTCAAATATGTACCTAAAAATCGAATTTATATTTTGATGCTGGTGACATTTATATCGTAATTTTTTTCACCCTGGGTATTAAGTTATAATTAATTAGATATTTGCCCAATTTCCGCTTGACATATTTTTTTTTATATTTATGGCTTGGTTGGTGACGTATTTCTCGATGGGTATAATGTTGCCAGGTATTAATAAACTTAATTGATTAATCGATATTAAACTCGTGATGTTCGCTAAAAGTAAATTCGGATTTTTATCAGATTATATAGAAAATCACTCGATTTTTATCTTCATTGGTACTCAAATGATTTTTGTCATTCGAGTTACTCAATGGCATAATATATTCCGTGACGTCAACATATTAAGACCTACATCGAAGTAGGTTAAGGGGGCAAGACAAAATGGTATGCAGCTATGATTGGATTGGCAGTTTGTTGGCTTTTGTTAATTACGCTAAGGATAAAATAAATTTAAATTAGCATCGCTTAAGTTGCCTTTAAAACATGTGCTAGAGTTAGCGTAACCCAGCAATAAGTTTAAAGGTGATTGCTCAAATTGGCCCAAATGCACAAAAAATTTTTTTATTTTATATTATTTTATTTGGGAAATTTACAGACAAATAACAAAGTGTATTAAAACTATTAACTATTTGACGACCTCCGTGGCCGAGTGGTTTGTACGCCGGGTTTCATGGCTGTCGCCGACTCGAGAGGTCCCGGGTTCGAATCCCGGTGGGGGCAGATGTTTGTGTGATGAATACGAGCATTTGTACTCCAGTCATGGATGTTTAATATGTATTTATATAAATATACTTATATATGTACAGTATATGTATTTTATATTGCTTACCTTATAGTGCTTACTCTAAAAAAAAAAAAAACATAAAACATTTTTTGTTTTATGTTTTTTACAAAAAAACATAAAACTATGATCCGTCACTTGCTAATAATAAATTTCCACATATAACACTTACATAAATTTCTTAACTCACATACAGACAACATATAAAAAATGTCTAACCAATTTTGAGGTAAATGATGTTTTAACCATTGGAGCATTAAAATTACTGATAAACTACATTTCAAAATATTTTCCTGTCAAAATTCGCTTCACCTTTGAACAGCTAGTATAAAACAAGTCTAGGTTATCAGATGTTGCATTATAAAGAGTCTAACTGCTCTGATAATAAAAGAATTCTGACGAAACCTAGTAATACCTACGAAATATATTGACATATATACGGTAATTCTTGGCGTAATTTATACATTATTTTACAGTCATTAGATTTTAACGGACACCTTTGTATAATATATTCGTTTTAAAAAGGACTTTTAATTTTACCGGTTTGAAAAACATACGAATCATTTTTAATGGCTATGGGTGTAGTAACATTCAGCCAAACACTGTTCGAAGTTATTTATATAACATAAAATCAAATCTATTTTGTACAGGTCGATAAAATAAATCATTTTTGAAGTTATACTTCTTTAGCCGCGTTATGAAAAAATTATGAGAGTGAAATTTTAAGATGCGCGCGCATCACTGTAACACAAAAGTAACAATGAAGTTAGCCGCGGGCGCGTTATGAAAAAATTATCAGAGTGAAATTTTAAGATGCGCGCACAACACTGTAACAGAAAAGTAACACCATGAAGTCGGCCGCTAAACCGCACATTACTCGTAAGTCTCGAATAAAAGCTTCCAACAAAATAGTAATAGGATCTCTTAGTCGCACATGTTGGGACGCTCGTCGCCTCTGATCACTGTTTTCATATTTATAATATTTATCCACATGTTTCTAGTTTCTATATTCTTAACACGTGTTATAATGTTATACAAATGCGAAATTTTGTATGTGGTAATAAATTTTATTCAGTAGTGATTTAAATTGAATATTTTGATTATTTATTAAATTTTTCAAATTAAAACTGAACTTTATTGACTGCGTTGACTATCCTTTTCCAATCCTTTTATTATCTTATTGTAATTAATTATCTGCATGCAATTAAAAACTATTTTTTAATAATTCCAAAAAGAA